CAAAAAAAAATCAAAGAAAAAAAGGCAATGCTGAAATTGACCTCAAATCACCACCAAGAAGAAACTAAAAGAAGGAAAGAAGAGATATGAAGAAAATAGAATTACCAATCGCCCGTTAATGGATGTCGGCTCATGGAAGGGACATAATGGGTGGGAGCCAGATCATGGCCAGTATATTGCTTCAAATCTTCATCAGTACAGCTGAGTAATCGTGTGATATTTCCAGGTTGGCCACTCAGGTGAAAACTGTGGACAAGTCCTACAGTCTGCCAATCAAAGTAAGGGGTGCATTCTGTAGAAAAAAGGGTGTGGACTTTTGGATGTGGCTTCGTGGGTTCATCGACAACTTGCTGCTGTACTGCCTGTACTACATGTACTGCGTTCTCAAATTGTAAAGTAGCAGGAGTCAGCTGTTTTGGCCGAGTCAGTTCAGCAAAAGTTTTGCTTTTCAGAAAGCTCAAGTATTTTGACCACTTTGGCTTCGGGCAACCGTTTGCTGCATGCTGTAGTAAAAGACCCTCATTCAAAGTGTTAATGCACTCTAAATTCAAAAGAAGAGCTCGCCTTTTATTTGGATCAGATTCCATCAGTTTTACCTGGACAAAGAAAGAATGATAAATTTGAAGACCTTGAACATGATCTTCCATGTAAGAAATTTTGAGATTTCTAAGATAAAGACCTAAATATTCAGCCTAACAAACAAAAATAGACATTCCATTTCTGATCACATACCTCTTTTGGATACGGAGGTTCTGGAAAGAGTCGGCCACAGTCATAAACAATACCATCTTCATGGTGATCTAATTTACTAAAAGACCAATTACCTACACTAAATGGCAAGCCATAGTGAAAAAGAATAGGCACAACACCCTCTCGTGGAGTATAGCCTGGGTAGATCATTAAGTTATCATTTATTTTGTGCTGAAGACCAACCTGAAAAAAGAAATAAGGTAACCAATACAAATTAACTAAAAGAAAACACTACGCAAAAGAAGCTGAAATGGTAAAGTATTGGAAATTTGTGAAAGATCCGACATATATATTACTAAAGGAAGAAAGAAACTTACCTCTGCTGCACCAAAAGAATATCCATACATCTCACTGATCCATCCTTTCCCGTAGATGTCACCAGTTATATTAGTTGTCCAGTGAGCTCTATCTTCGCGCACTTCTTCTGTTTTCGAAAGCCACATGGGTGCCAATGCTCGAAGATCATCCATATGCATGGCTAAAAGCCCACCAACCTTATCACAGAGGTCTGGGTGCTTTGTGTGTAGTTGAGACAGAATATTATCACATCCAACCAAGTACCTGAAGGAGAAATTCATTATAATCCAACCAAGTACCTGAAGGAGAAATTCATTATACCAATGTATGTTGATAGCCACAATCCCTACAAGGGCGAAAAAAGAAGAATATTGAAGAATAAGTTCAAAATACATTTACTGCCCATAAAATCCTCAGAAGAACAGGCTCATAAAGATATTATGCAAATGCCAGAAAAGAGATCTCTGCAGTTCCGAAATTGACAAGGTCCTGTTCTTCTCATGTCAGTGATGGATCAAGAACAAAGAAAACCTCACTTCAACCTCCAAAGCATGTCAAGTACAAACATAATACTCTACTTAACCACCCTTTTAATTCAAACTAATTTAGGTTGGCTACATTGACGACAATTACGAACTATTATTAGTGAATTCACAAGGCATCCATAATGCTCTTGTATGGTAAAACCTGATTGCAGCTAATACATACCCTTACGAAGAACATCCTTTCCAAACAGATGCTTTAAAAAGTTTATCATGGGAGCAGGCTTAGCTTTGATGTAGTATCACTTAGATGAAACGAAAAAAAGTGTTATCGTAATACCCGTAATATGCTGCAACAGGTTTGCCCTTCTCAGCACCAAGTTCCCAAGGAACGATTGGCCCCCGTATGATCATATCCGCATCCAGAATCAGAACCCAATCAACATTCTCAGCTTCTTTACTGTGCTTAAGCCAGTGCACCACTCCAGCTGGTTTGTTAATAGCAGGGTACCTGAAAATTAAACAAAAAACATTTCAACCATTATTTTTTTTCCCTTTTCTGCATCAAAGAAAATCCAATGCTGTCCACCTTAACCAAACCCATCAAATAGAAGGAACAATTAAGCAAGAATTGCAAAGCAACCCAGAATTCAAAACCCAATTTGAGACCAAATTAAGAAGAAAACCAATCAAAAATGAAAGAGGTGAGGAACAAAGCACACACCAACCACTCACCAGTCACCAGTCTTGGGGTGCCTGCTCATGGAAGGCACCTCAAAAGTGGGAGCCAAATGCATCCCTTTGTACTTCTTCTTCTCGTCGTCCGTACAGCTGAGGAGTCGGGTAATAGGGCCGGGTTGCCCGGCCTTCTTGTAGCTGTGCATGAGACCCACAGTCTGCCAGTCGAAGTAGTCCTGGCACTCCACCGAGAACAGGGTATGGATCCTCCTCGGAGCCTCCTGACCCGCTTCCACCCCCCAACTACCATTCATGCACAGACCCATCAAGCCCACCGCCACCAAAACCAAGAATCTAGGCATTGTAGCTCAACTGGGGCTCAGATTTCAGATGGGTATTGGGTAAGAGATCTAAATTTCATGGCTTTGACGGATACACTCAAAAGTCAAAATCAGAGCTTTGGTGTTGTTTATGTCTTGGCCGGGCACACGTAACTGAAGTTGGTGCAACATGGGATTTTAATAATTGCTTATACACAGCTAGCTGGGTGTATGGATTATTCAACGAAACGTATCAATTATTTGATGGTTGGTGTTTGTGATCGAATAATGTATTAGGAGGAAATACGAAATTTGTGTACAAGAAATGGACTTGTTCTTTCACAAAACACACGCGGACAAACAAAAGCCTACCACTAGATTTTCCAGCTTCACTGCCTGCCTGATACCTTGTTTTCTTTTTCTTTTTCTTTTTCGAAACGAGACGTCGTTTTTTTAATCGGGAGATTGGTACAACGATTATGACATAATAACATAAACTCCTTAGTATGGCTGTTGCGTGACACTGAGTGAGCTAGCACTCAAATGCATGGTAGATGTGGTGTCATATTCCAGAATTAATGTTCAACATAGTGTTCCAATTTCCAAACAACAAATAAGTTATAGAAAGCAGACATAACTTAGTCAAGTTGATTTAGATCGGATGTGCTCTTCACTCTACACCCGAGTTCGAATCTTCCTCTTTATAGTTTAGATTAAATTAAATTAGAATATTGCTTGTAAAAAAACAAAAACAAAAAGATAGTGAATCCGCCATTGTATATATATATATATATATAGGGGGCGGATCCGTGGCACCATATTTTTGACACAAGTTTTGACACAATTTTTGGACCATTAGATTACTCTACTTTTAATGGTTGAGATTAAACCTAACATGACAAAATAATATTTTTTTTACTTTAATTAATATTTATACATTGAGATTAAAATTCTGATATTAATTAAGAATTCAATCTCTCTCATCTCATTAATTATCTTTAATTCATTCATTCTCTCTCTTTCTTCTACAGATAACTGACGCCTCCTCTGCCTTTGCTTCTTCTTTCTCACTCTCCCGTCCCCTTCTCATCCCCAAAGCCACCCTCACCACCACCACCACTCCAACTCCTATCCTACCTAAACCACAAATCACAGACTAAAACTAAACCAGAGAAGGTAGATGCCCTTCAACATCACAACCAACCATCAAAAAATAAGGTTCATGTCACAACTCAGAAACCCAAAAAAGAACAAGTTGGCATCCTCTGACCTCCTTTGATTAAAAATACAAACACATTAATAATAAAACCCACCAAATATTACTCTCTCCACCGATTCTTCTGCAATCTCTCTCTCTCTTCATATACTTTGTTTTTCTGATCATTCTTTCTATCTCAATTTTGATTAGGTTCTGTGTGGGGGTTTTTTCCTTTTCGTCATTGTCCAACCATCAGCCGTTTCCTGGCCACCTCCAATGGAAAGCTGATTGTGCATAGCTTCATTCAACATATCTTCTAAATCATCTATGTAGAGAGAGAGAGAGAGAGAGAGAGAGAGAGAG